TCGCCAGCTTCTCGCCAACACACAGCCTTACTGTTGGTTCGTTCTCGATGTTCTTGTGCGTGTGCGATACTAAACTTTACTCCGTAGTGCTACTACTGCTTTGAAACTCCACAGAGTAACTTTTGGATTCACACATTCGCAGGAAGTGACGGTTAATCAGGAGTGTAAAGTCCCCGTTTAATTTAATTAATGTTTAATGACTCACTGACCGACCATCGTATGTCGTATATATCGTAAATATTCTATAAACTGTTCCATTATAAAATAAATAACAGCAGTTTTGTTAATTGATTAATCATCATCTTCACTTTCCCCGCCTTTATTTATCCAGCCAGTTTGTTGATTGATCCAGTATCTGCAGTAACCCTTAGTTTAATTTGCTGCTTTGTTTTATAATACTATATTATTCTCTACAAACTTAATCGAATAATCTTTGATGGATGTATTGATGTAGAAAGAAATCCTTACCGGCAGCTCAGATGATTCAGCAGTTCATCCCATTCCCGTCTTTGTCATCACACCGTTGTTCTGGAGCGGTGTTAATCATCCGATGTGTGAGAATACTTTCAGAGTCAGAGGCAGTTCAGTTCAGTCGATCACTAATACAGACACACGTTGGTTCCAGCGCCTGTGACTCTGTAAAGATGTCAACATCTCTCCACGACATATTCATGTATTCCAACGTTTGCTGTAATTGTGTCGCAAATCGATGAGTCAGAACAGCAGGAAACCAACACTTCATGGCCGCTGAATAAGAATAAGCTCCGTGTTCGTACAGTATTTCTCCCTTTGTCACCTAGAAGTGGTGCAGATGTTTATGCAGGCCGGTGCTAACGAAGAATAAAACCTACAGGGTTACTTTAAAGTCTTCTTTATACGAACGTGTAACGCTTCTAAACTGATTCTGTTTCACAATATGCAGCTGAAAACCCAAATGAACCAGTTCAAAGTGATGAGTCGTCCACTACAGCAGGTGTGGTTTTGTTCGTGCTTTCAGAGGAGATCCAGTCGGAGCAGTGAGTTTACTTTGAAACTGTTCCTGTTTCATTTGGTTTGCACCACATTTAGGAGGATCGATTGGCAGAAATGTTTTTATCAGTGTGTAGTTTGGGAGTTTTACGTCGGATCTCATTGTAACGTCATAACTTCATTCAAAGTGGAAACAAAATAAAAACTTTCCAACTCCAAATCCTCGATTCGATTTAATTTTCGATGTTAAAGTCACGATTCGATTCGACTTTTATTTATTTTTTTAATATTACTATTAATCCATTCCTTATGTTATTTATTTGGCCTTTTCTATTCTGTTTTTCAGGGGGCTTTTATTTTGGAAGCCAGCGAGGTTGTAAACAACATTAAACAGAGACGTGAATAGTGAAAACACAGAATGAGATTTGATGTTTCAGGCACGAAGGGACGCGAGGTTCATGTTTCATGGACATATGTTCTTATCAATTTAGGCCTTAAAGTCATTTTGGACTCGCTCCGCTCTCTGTTTAGTTGCAGTCGGTTCACCGTCGCGTTAAGCTGACGTGAATGAACGCACGATATCCTTCCACAGTGGTGATTTTCAGAGTAGGCTTCGATTTCGGTGGCTTTGTGTGTATGTTTTTAACTGAAGCTAACAACTAGCAGGCAGTGTGTGAGCCGGCAGTTTAGCGTGTGTCAGTGTTGTTTTTGCGTCTGTGGCGTTCGTGCTGGAACGTGACGTGAGGGTTGTGGCTGCGTCGTCGACCTTCTCCGTTTGAGTTTCGCCAGTTTCGAGATCTTGAGCGTAATTTCGATCGATTTTATTTAATCTAATTGTTTTGTTACTATTTTTTCTTCTTTTTAGTTTTATTTTTTTTTGTTTTTTTAACTTCATTCAACAGTGGAAACAAAATAGACCTCTTCACTCTGCTTTGGTCAAAATAAATCGCTCTCCTCACAAACTGGAGGGTTGAAACAGTCAGCTACACAATGGAGGGCACGACGGGAGTGATCTCTCTCAAA